TTGTTTTTCTTTAAGATTTATTTACTTACTTTAGAGAGTGAGTGAGCATATGCCAGCAGGGGGAGGGGCAGAGGAAGAGGGAGAGAGAAAATCTTCAGCAGACTCCCACTGATGTGGAGTCCAATGCGGAGCTTGATCTCAAGACACTGGGATCCCTGGGTGGCGCAGCGGTTTGGCGCCTGCCTTTGGCCCAGGGCGCGATCCTGGAGACCCAGGATCGAATCCCACGTCGGGCTCCAGGATCGAATCCCACGTCGGGCTCCTGGTGCATGGAGCCTGCTTCTCCCTCTGCCTGTGTCTCTGCCTCTCTCTCTGTGACTATCATAAATAAATAAAAATTAAAAAAAAAATAATTCAAGACACTGAGATCATGGCCTGAACCAAAATCAAGAGTCGGACACTCAACAGACTGAGCCACCCAGGCGCCCTCAGTGGGTTTTTTCTTTTTTTGAGGTAGACTCCATGCCCAGCATGGAGCCCAATGTGGGTCTGAGCCCTCGACCCCAAAATCAAGACCTGAACTGATATCAGGAGTCAGACACTTAATCAACTGAGCCACCCAGGTGGCCCCAGATTTTTAGTTTTTATGATAACCAACTCAGAGATTCCCAATTAATGTATGTATGTGGGTGGGAAAGCCAAAAGATGTATCATAGCTTTCCAAGTATGGTTAAATACTGAGAATGAATTCCTAGCCAAGAAAAGAAACAAAAATGTCACTTCTGTTAAACTTTTGTTTCAAGAAGCCTCCCCCCAGGAATCTCAAGAATCTATTCTGAACCTAAATGTAGGTTTACTTGGTAATGTCACAGAGTGATAGAAAAGGAGCTCTTTATCCTACCCAGTTTTTTAGTCTTTGTAGAAATCAAAACTTATTTGTCACTTCTAATGTTGAAAATGTTTTCATCAGGTTCTCCCAACTAGCTTATAACCAGATCGTGTACTATTCACCATAACCAAATCAGTGTTGTCATTGTCCGATTTTCTTTGTCTTTGTCTTGCGAATTAAATGATGAGATTTAGCATACAACTGTAATTGTTGGGATCACTGCTTATCTTTTCATAAAGTGGGAATAAAAGCTGAGAATCCTCTGCCTCAAATAACATGACTAATACTTTTAAGCTAAGTACTTTTCTAAATCTTGTGTACTCCCTGGTAAGTAGAGCACTTTGATTTGCACAGACCAACTCTGTGAACTGCCTGGTCAGAGAATACATTACTTGCCTGTACTCTGTAAAGCAATGGACATTCCCTCCATAGGGTTGCAGCTCCTCACAAAAATGGCTGAAGAGTCCAGAAGGTCTATTCAGCACACCATTCCTTTAGTTTCAAGTTTCTTCTTACTCTGGAGAAGTAGAGGAGACAATAAATACTGCAACAAAGAACTGTTTCAGAATGTTAAAGTTCTTACTGTCAACATCCCCACATCTAAAATTCTAAACTCTCTTCTCCCATGGGGACAAGAAAACCCTATTCGACTTCTGCTCCTTTGACAGAGACCATCAAAGATTTTCCTTCCTTTTAACTCTACATTGTCTCCAACTCTCCAGGGATGGCTCTCAGGCCCCTCTAAGTCTTAAATGCCATAGAAGTTGGCTTACAAAACTGAAAAAGCTACAGTCCCTTAAGGCCATGGAACTGCAGGCAGGGATCCCACCCACTTTCAATGCAGTACCCTCTACTCCCTTTGGCTATGCTCTTTATAAACAGATTAGCCAATTCTTGTTATTGAGGCATACTTATCAGACTTGGCTAGATTTGCATTTTAGCTATACCTCAAGACTTTGGGATGTACTATGGTGAGATTCTCCAGGCATTCCTTATGTTCAAGATAAACTGTTCCATAAGTAGGATGACCATACAATTTATCATCCAAACCTAGAGGTTTGAGAAAGGAGAAGTTTACTAACAATCATGCTGGGAAAACAGGCGTAAACCATAACTGCCCCAAGCAAACTGGGGCCAGTGTTACTCTACGTATAACTCCTTTTTGATGGAGTGCCAAGACTCCCATTGTCTTACTCAACTTTCTCTGTCTTTGTCAACTCCATTCAAGTGGCACCTCCTCAGAAAAATCTTTAGAGGCTGTTTCTTCCTACTTATCTTATTTTTGACCTCAGCCTATAGAAAGAAAGCTAGAGTACTTAGCTTGGAATCATAATTCTGTCTTTATTAGTAGAAAAATCTTGGGCAAAGTACTTAACCCTTCTGAAATGGTTTCCTCATTTGTAAACAAGATATTAATAATAATAGCACTTACTTCATAGGGTATTATGAGGATGAGTTCATGAATGCAAAGCACTCAGAACACCACCTAGTCTATAAATGCTCAGGAAAGTTATTACTTCCTCTAAAAATGTTCTCTTTTCTTCCAGAGTTAAGTATCAGATCAGTAAAAACATTTGCATTTCTGAAGGCAAGTTTGTATTAGTTACTTTTGCCTCATCTATTTTTTTCAAATTCCGATATTTTGAGGAGAGAAAGATTTTTCGCTTCAGTGGCGTTCTGGGTGAAAAATTAAGTCATCTTGAGTTCCAATTTATGCTCTAGTGCTTGCTGCATTATACAAGTTTCTATTTGCTTTTCCTGGGTAGCTTTCTGGCTTTTATCTTAAAGCTTATTTCTGGTTTCTGTAAGAAGCCACGATTTTGACACAGAAGTCTTTCCCCAAATCTAGAAGCTAAAAGGGAAAATGTTTTATAAAATGACTTTCTAACTCATTGGACATCACCTAAAATCTAGATTTTTGGCACACTTTGCATAAAATGGAATGGTAATATTTTTCGTTTTATCTTGAAGATAGTCAATTTATAATTTCTACTTATTAAGACAAAATGTTAAATCTCTGCCTAATGCATCAGCCAGCATAAAAAAGTAATCTTTGTAAACTACAGAGACTTGTGTTTTTCAGTATTTCCTGAGGGCAGAGAAATGTTATTAGAGTGAAGATATATGCTTTTGATCTTAATTTTAGAATGGTTTTTTTTTTTAAAGATTTTTAATTTATTTATTAGAGAGAGAGAGACAGAGAGAGAGAATCAGGCAGAGGGAGAAGCAGGCTCCATGCAGGGAGCCTGACATGGGACTTGATCCAGGGTCTCCAGGATCACACGCTGGGCGGAAGGTGGTGCTAAACCGCTAAGCCACCAGGGTTGCCCTAGAATGGTCTTTCTTTTTTTTTTTACTTTATTTATGACAGGCACACAGTGAGAGAGAGAGAGGCAGAGACACAGGCAGAGGGAGAAGCAGGCTCCATGCACCGGGAACCCGACGTGGGATTTGATCCCGGGTCTCCAGGATCGCGCCCCGGGCCAAAGGCAGGCGCCAAACCGCTGCGCCACCCAGGGATCCCTAGAATGGTCTTTCAATGTTTAGTTAATAAAATGTACGTAAAATGACATGACGAACCCTCATATATCTACCACTTGATTTATGAAAATAGGGCATTGCTAATATCCATAAGTTCCCCTACACGCCCCTTCTTCATACCATCCCTTCATTTCCCTTTCCTCAGTGCTTCTATCCCAAATTTTGTGTTTATAACATTCAGGCTTTTATTAGTAGTTTAACCATGTGTTACGTCCCTCGATAATATATTGACAGTTTTAATAACATGTACAAATGAAATATTGTATGCCATTCTTCTGTGATTTGCTTTTTATCCTACAACACTATGTTCCTGAGATTCATCCATGATATTGCATAGCTGTAATTCATTTTAACTGCTGTATAAAGTTCCATTTAACGGCTACAAAAAAAATTGATCAATTTTACTGTTAATATATTTGTCAATATATCGATATATATTTATCAGTATGTCAATATATATTTAATGATTCCTATTTCATCTGCTATTAGAAGTGTTACATTTCTGTACGTATATCCTGGTAACGATGTTCAAGAATTTTTTTTAAGGTTTTATTTATTTATGAGAGACACAAAGAGAAGGCAGAGACATAGGCAGAGGGAGAAGCAGGCTCCCTGCAGGGAGCCTGACATGGGACTTGACCCCAAGGCCCCAGGATCATGACCTGAGCCAAAGGCAGAGGCTCAACCACTGAGCCACCCAAGCACCCCTATTCAAGAATTTTTCTAGGATATTACTTAGGATGTCTTGGCTGTGTGGCATGCGCAACTTCAGATTTTAGTAGTTGATGTCTAACTTGTTTTCCAAAGTGGTTGTGCTAGTTTACACTACCAAAGAGTATTCTCTCGTAGCTCCGTATTCTTGTCAACACTTGTGATTGTGGTATTTTAAGATTTTTGTCAATTGTATGCATGGCGTGGTATCTTTGTGGTTTTAATTCCTGTGTTCCTGATTATCAGTGAGTTTAGCATCTTTTCATACACTTGGCTTTCCTTTTCTGTGAAGTACCTATGTAAGCCTTTGGCTCTTTCTTCAATTGCATTGCCTGTCTCTTTTGTAAGGGTTTTTCACCTAGTTTAGTTCAGTGGTTCTCAACTGGAGGAGAATTTGCTATTTAAGAAATATTTAGCAATGTCTATAGATGTTTTGATGGTCACAAGCGGGTAGTGCAGAGCCACTGGCATCTAGTAGGGAGAGGCCAGAGATGATGCTAAAACATCCTACAAGGCACAGGACAGCCCCCAAAACAAAGAAGTCTCTGCCCCAATATGGTACCAGTACCAAGGTTTAAAAATTTTATCCTAGATACTAAAATGTTATCAGTTACATGTGTTGCAAATATTTTCTCCCAATTTGTGGATATTTTATTTTTTCATGGTACCTTTTGATGAAATTCTTAATTTTAACATAATTGAAGTTATTGATCTTTTATGGACTCTATGTCTCTGATTTAAGAAAGTTCCCCATCCTCAAAATATATCTTCCAATTGAGAGTTTTAAAATTTAATTTTGCTTTTTTACATTCAAGTCTTTATTTTTTTTTTAGAATCTTTTTTTAACGTTTTTTTAAATTTTTATTTATTTATGATAGACATACAGAGAGAGAGACAGGCAGAGACACAGGCAGAGGGAGAAGCAGGCTCCATGCACCGGGAGCCCAACGTGGGATTCGATCCCGGGTCTCCATCGCTTCTCGGCCTTTTGGCTAAAATCAAGTGCGATCCCGGGTCTCCAGGATCGCGCCCTGGGCCAAAGGCAGGCGCCAAACCGCTGCGCCACCCAGGGATCCCCTACATTCAAGTCTTTAATCCACCTAAAACTGATTTCTATTTAGGATGTAAGAGTCCAAATTAATTTTTATATGGATAACTGGCTGTCTAAGCACCATTTGTTAAATGTCTTACATCCACTGGTCTGCAATGCTGTCAAAAATCAAGTTTGCAGGAATGGGTTTATTTCTTGTTCTTTTATTATCACCTTTCAATCTGGAGGCTAAAGTTATTTTCACCTTCCTATAAAAGAAAAACCGAATCCCACGAGTTAAAGGTTTTCACGAATTCTGAATAAAACAGATCTTAAAAGGTTTTTTGGGGGGATGTTTTGTTTTCATTTTTGTAGTGTTTGTTTTTATTTTCTAGAGAAATGAAAAGAACGGGACCTGAGTTATTTTGAGTAGCAAGGCCAAATACCTCAAAACTGGAAATGAACTCACTTCACTGAAAGTTTTTTTTAAAAGATTTTATTTATTTATTCATGAGACACACACACACAGAGAGGCAGAGACACAGGCAGAGGGAGAAGCAAGGCTCCATGCAGAGTGTCTGATGTGGGACTCGATCCTAGGACCCCAGGATCAGGCCCTGGGCCAAAGGTGGCGCTAAACCGCTGAGCCACCCCGGAATCCCTGAAAGTTTTGATCCTATAAACTACATTTGCCTACAGTACATTTCAGGAAGGCTAGAAATGCATTTACTTTTCAAGTAGCCAAAGGGAGGCATTTCTGGAACACTTTCTTAACGCCTATAATTTAACCTTGCATATCATCTAATTGTTTAATTCAGGGGCTATAACAAATAGTCATACTCTTTGCAAGATTAGTGAGAAAGGCCATTTTCCCAACTGATAAGAAACTTGCCAGTAAGGCTATTTCTGACTCAGTCTTTCCTGGAAAGGAATCCATAGCGCAAAGAAGAGTCGTTCCTGACTGTCAGCCCCAGCCTTCAGATCCAGTTCCTTCAAAGCCAGTGGCAAGCACCAGTTACACAGAGAGGCAGAGAAGAAACAGAAGTAGACATATCCTTCTGCCCCTTTATTCTCTTCCTCACTTACTCTTCATTCTCATTTATCCCACACAAGCTCCACACAAGTATTCAGTAACATTGAAACGGGATCATTTTATTATAATACAAACTATATTCTGGCTTTGAGGTAAGTCAGAAGCAGAACTATAAATTCATTGACTCTATGAATCTTTAAGAAAAAGTAACTTGGCATGGGGACCGAAGATTTCCAGAAAAAGAAAAAAAAAATCAGTTTCTCCTTTAGGGAAATACCTGGAAAACGATTCCCTTTTTAAAATATGTCAATTACTTGCTATTGCTCCTTATTTTTTCCCCACTCTTGAAATGATTATCAACTAATGATGTAATTATTCTGGAGCCTTCACGTGTGCGTTGTAAGAAGGAGTGAGCCGGGATTTTCTGTGGTGAGGGCACATGTTCCATGATGTCTACTTTTGACATTTGATCACCATGAAACTCACCGACTGATGCCCAAGCACTGACTTAGACTGTTCATCAAATACTCTGGTAGAACGGGGTGTCTCTAGCTGATTACCCTGTCCAAGATCAGGGGGTAGTTAAGCCCCAGGAGGCTAAGAGGATTTATCAGATCTAGAGTCCTCAAAGTGATTATATAAGATTTATTAGATCTGGACTTCTGTTTAGAACCACATAGCAGAGAGACGCTTGACCAAAATTCAGAGACCTTTATTACCAAATGGCCTGTATATAGCTCTTTCAGGAATACAGGAGGTCTCTGGTGGGTCTTTTAAGGAAATTTTCATGAATAAGTTATGTTTCCACTCCCGTTTGCTCACATTAAATCGGCGACTTCCTACGATGAATGTGCAAAGACAAACAGGAGTTGCCCCAGAGACATGGCAAAGACATACAGAAATAGAGCTTTCCAGTCATTTAGAGGTATGCAGTGCTGTGAATAAACCAGGCTGAGAAATCAACTTGTTTTGCAATGACCCCTGAGTTGAGGCCAAGCACAGCTTTTGATTATTCATGGGGGGGGGGGGGGAGGCCAAGACATAAACATAAAAGTTCTGCAACCATCCACGCACGCACAGTCAGCCCGGTGACTGCGTTAGATTCTGATCCCTCTGCCGGTTTACCTGCCAGGGAAAGGGGCACCTGTGCGCGTCCAGGTAGGACGAGCAGGCAGGCCTGCTCCCGGGGGGGCTGCAGCTGCGCCGTACTGTACCGCGTGCTCGCGCCTTAGCCGTGCTCACCTGCAGACTCGGAAGCCCCGGCGGGGGGGGGGGGGGTGGCCGGTGCTCACCTGCAGACTCGGAAGCCCCGGCGGGGGGGGGCCGGTGCTCACCTGCAGACTCGGAAGCCCCAGCGGGGGGGTGGCGGTGCTCACCTGCAGACTCGGAAGCCCCGGCGGGGGGGGGGGGCCGATGCTCACCTGCAGACTCGGAAGCCCCGGCGGGGGGGGTGGCCGGTGCTCACCTGCAGACTCGGAAGCCCCGGCGGGGGGGGAGTACCGGTGCTCACCTGCAGACTCGGAAGCCCCGGCGGGGGGGGGGGCCGGTGCTCACCCTGCAGACTCGGAAGCCCCGGCGGGGGGGTGGGTGGCCGGTGCTCACCTGCAGACTCGGAAGCCCGGCGGGGGGGGGGCCGTGCTCACTGCAGACTCGGAAGCCCCGGCGGGGGGGGTGGCCGGTGCTCACCTGCAGACTCGGAAGCCCCAGCGGGGGGGGTGGCCGGTGCTCACCTGCAGACTCGGAAGCCCCGGCGGGGGGGGGGGGGGCCGGTGCTCACCTGCAGACTCGGGAGCCCCGGCGGGGGGGAGGCCGGTGCTCACCTGCAGACTCGGAAGCCCCGGCGGGGGGGCCGCCACAGCCGCAGCGACCGCAACGCCAGGAGCGCGGGAACGGCCGCCCTCCATCTCTAATGCCCGCCCAGGACGCCGCCAGGGGCCCGCGCCAGGAAAGGGGTCTCACCGCGCCGCTCACGTTTGGGGCCGCCGAGGCGGAGGTGCCACCGCACTGTCGCCGTGATACGCGGGAATAAACGTGGCTCACGGCCAGTAGCCCGCATCGCCACCCAGTGGTTGACAACGCGGTCTCAGGTGTGGCGGCTGCGGGGGGCGGGGGCGCCCCCGAGCTCTGAATCCGCGTTACGGCGCTGGCCTCCAAGGCCGCGAGCCACGGGGCAGAACCGGGGCCGGGGGCGCGGACACCCACCGAGCCTGCGCACGGGTGGGCCCTGGGGGCAGGGGGGAGAGGCAGGCTCGGGAGCAAGGCGCCGCCGCAACCTCCGGCCACCAGCGCGGGCCGCCACCGAGCCGGGGCGGCGACGGTGCCCGTCGGGCGCGGGCGGGGCCGGGGTCACGTGGCCCGCGCGGGGTCAGAGCCCGGCGTGCGCCGTGGGTGCGCGCGCAGGCCGGGGGCGGGGCTTGTGGGCCGGGCGTCGGGCGCGCTCGGGGGGCGGGGCCTGAGCGGGGCGGGCGGGGCGGAGGGCGGGGCGGGGCTTCCTCCTCCTCCTCCTTTCCCTCCTCCTCCGCCTCCGCCTCCTCCTCCTCCTCCTGCGAGGCTGGGCTGGCGGCGGCGGCGGCGGCGGCGGGAGCCGGATGACCCGCGGAGGGGCGCCTCGGCCATGACTGCGGAGCTGCAGCAGGACGACGCGGCTGGAGCCGCCGACCGACACGGCTCGGTGGGCCCGGCGGCGGGCGAGGGGGGGGGGGCCGGGGTCCCGGGCGGGGCGGGGGCCGCGGGGCGCGGGGCAGGCGGGGGCGGCGGAGGGCGGCGGAGGGCGCCGGGGCGGCCGGCGGGGCGGGGCGGGGGTCTGAGGTCCTCGCGGGGCTCCGGGGCCGGGGCGAGCTCAAGTTCGGGAACCGTAGGGGCTTTGGAGAGCCGGCTCCGCGGGGCGGGACGTGGGGCTGTGCGCATCGGCGATGCTTGGGGGGCGCTCCTGGGCCCCGACCTGGGTGCGGAGCTTCCGACGGGGGCGGCTGGCTGGGGTGCGCGGCGTGCAGTCTGGAGTCCCCTTTGTGGCTGTTTGAAAAGTGTCGGAAGCCGACTTACAGCCGGGATGGGCCGACACCTTGCGAAAGAGCGGGGGTCCCGGTTGCCACTCCCTACCTTCCCTTGCCCCACCGCCCCGGCCTCTTCTTTCTTTCTTTCTTTTTTTTTTTTTTTTTTTTAAGTAAACTTGAGAGCCGCCCCCCCCGCCCCCCCGCCCCCTCACCAGTGGAGTCTTAGGGAGGGAGGAGGGACAGAGCGATGAATAGAAGGTATTCTCATAAATGCCTTCTTGTTCCTATTATCTAGGAAGATCGAAATCAATACAAGGATTTCTGGGCTCAGTCGGTGAGAGTGGAACACTGGTTTGGGAGAAAAATCAAAAGGCTGACAATGCCGCGTGTAGAAGCTCGGTGAAGTGAGCCACTTGAGAACGTCTTCTAACGTTACTCTGGAAAAGTTACAACTTAACACCACCTCCTCACCCCACCCCCCTCCCCCCCCACTGCTGTGCTTTTTCGAGACCGAATGGGAGACCTGTGCCAAGTATTCCAGCCAGAGTCTGGGAAGGAGGAAATTTCGTAAAAAAATATTTACAAGGCAAAACTGTCAGACACCTCCACGTGGGGAACCTTTTGTGCCTGTTTATTCTTCTCCTGCACACGGGAGACCCCGGGGTGGAGGAGCGCACACATTTCCTTTTATAATCTCCTCCAGGTCCTGGGCTCCAAAATGAAAGTAACGTGGATGGTACTTCACGTGCTTCTGATTTCTAATGGAGATGCTATTGTTAGGAGTCCCCAGATACCTATTGGGATCTGAGGCAGGGTTTTCCCCTGGTTTCACAGATCATTTCTATTTGTTTTTTAGGACAGTGACTTCGAAACAGGTGGGGAAAATCTTTTGAGTTTTGAGACAGTTGTGTTGATTTAGAGAAGAGGCTATTTTAAGGGAGGGTAGGTCATATTTAAATTTGTCCGCAGCCATGTGCCTGTTCATCAACGGGCATCTTCGTTTACCTCTGCCACAGTTTAAGTAGTGACCCCTCTCTCAGCACTCTGAGAGTCTGTGTGTGAGGTGTTTGATGAGCACTTGTATGTAAGTCATAGCTATTTTGGGAAAACTTGGAACTCGGTTGGCTGTGGCTGGCTGGAGCACCCCTGACTCCTGGCCACCTGCAGAGTGATGACATTCACTGTTCTTTCCAGTGATTCGCCCCATAGAGACAGATGATAAGCTTGGAATGCTTGATAATGTTTGCCCCTTTTGTTTTTGCTAATGAAAATGCTTGAAATCAGCAGGCTAGGTTGAAGGAATCTCATTTAGGGGAAAGTACCTTTCACATCTTAGAGGAAAGGTTTTAATAACTTCCTCATCTTGAGGAGTGTCATGTTAGAATGGACTCTGTTTGGGATTCTCTGAAAAGCACTCTGCGTTTCCCTTAAAGCATCTTTAATTGTTCTAGTGAGACGAGCTATCCTCCCCTGACGCTCACAAGCTATTTAAAACCTAGAATGCTTCTCCTCCCTTATTGGTCAGTTGTCCAGGGGACAGGCAACCCTTTATAGCCTCCCAAGAATTTTAGTGAGAAAAATGCAGCACCTTTGGAATATGTTCTCAGTACGTACTAGAGTCTGAAAGAGAATATTTTGTGATATTGCTAAATACCGCATACTGCAGACTGATACTCCAATATCTACAGAGATTTCTTCCAGACAGGTTTCTGTGTTGTTGTTGCTGATGCTGCTGTTGTTTTAAAATGTATTTATTTGGGATCCCTGGGTGGCGCAGCGGTTTGGCGCCTGCCTTTGGCCCAGGGCGCGATCCTGGAGACCCGGGATCGAATCCCACGTTGGGCTCCCGGTGCATGGAGCCTGCTTCTCCCTCTGCCTGTGTCTCTGCCTCTCTCTCTCTCTCTCTCTGTGACTATCATAAATAAATAATAAAAAAAAAATTAAAAAAAAAAAAAATAAAATGTATTTATTTATTCATGAGAGACATACAGAGAGGGGTTAGGGGCAGAGACACAGGCAGAGGGAGAAGCAGGCTCCATGCAGGGAGCCCAACATGGGACTCGATCCCTGGTCTCCAGGATCAGGCCCTGGGCCCAAAGGCAGTGCTAAACCGCTGAGCCACCCAGGCGTTCCCAGGTTTCTGTGTTTTAATCAGTTCTTGACTTAGATAAAAACCAGCAGCACCATTTACTGTTTTTGTAGGATAAACAACTTGAAGTCAGGTTGGTTCTTATAAACCTGTCATCCCTGGCAGCTGTACTAGGATTCATCACATGCTCCTTACCACTAACTGGAGCCCTATGAAAACCTGCCAGTTTCAGTAAAAATTTAATGTCCTTTTTGCTTTCTCTTGACTTACTGGCTTTTCATTCACGTTTACCTTGTCTCATTAGTTGTGATTTTTGGAACATCAGTCAGTCTTGGTTGGCTTTCACAGTTTTAAGGCCTCTTCAGCTACAGTCTCTGCTCACACAATGAGTACAATATTTATAAAAAGCATTGACAAGTACCGCCTCACCAGGCAAGATCTTTCTATGTGTTATATTTCATTGAAGAAATTTAAGCAGTAGCCAAGTGAAGCAGATGTTTTTTTAAGGAAAATAATGATGCTGGTAATAGTAGGAGCTAATGCTAATTGAGCATGTACTGTGTGCCAGACCCTGTGCTCAGCGCTTAACATATACTATCTCAGTACTTAAAACAACTCCATGAAGTTTTCTTTTTTTTTTTTTTTTAATATTTTATTTATTTATTCATGAGGGACACACACAGAGAGGCAGAGAAAGAAGCAGGCTCCATGCAGGGAGCCCGATGTGGGACTCGATCCCCGGTCTCCAGGATCAGGCCCAGTGCTGAAGGCAGGCGCTAAACTGCTGAGCCACCCGGGCTGCCCTTCATGAAGTTTTTTTTTTTTTTTTTCCCTTCATGAAATTTTCATACAGGAAGGCTTATATTTGCTAAATAATTTGCCCAAGATCACCCACCTAATAAATGGTACAGCCAGGATTGAACTCAAGCAATTCTGAGAGACCAATGTAGCCTTGATCCTACTTTTTAGTCAATGAGCCTGTTGTCATAGGTCAGAACCTTTTACCCTCCAGAACTCTCCTGATGTTTTAAACTTTGAATCTTCTCTGCATTCTTCCTAAACATATAGCTGCTTTTCTACTTGGCTGAGCCTGCTACTGTCCAAAGAGATGAGTGGAGGGTTTTGTTTTTATAAGGAGGTATCTTATATATTTTTTGCTTTTTGTTTTTCCTCTTCAGTATCTCTTTTTCTCGTGTAAGAGGTAAACCCTCCCCTTCCTCATTTCTTAGAGATGAATCTAGATCTGTGGTGTCTGGAGAGCTTTTTGATTGTGACTACTGGAGGAGGATGCTACTGACCTCAGTGGGTGGAAGCCAGGAATGCTGCCAAACATTGTGATGTGCAGGGTTATCTGGCCCAAAATGTCAGTAATGCTGAGCTTGAGAAACCCTGATCTAGGCGATGTCTCTCCCTGCCCTTCTAAATTATCTCACATTTCCTTTATTCTAGCTTAAGTGGCAGACACCTTCATTGTCTTCTATTCTCTTGTTGCTCAAAATACCGTCTGGACCAGCAGCACCTGCATCACCCAGGAGTTTGGAAATGGTAGAGATTTGCATGAGCGAGAGCCAGCTTGCACTGTCTTTCCAGCTGAATGGGTTCATCTCTTCCCAACTTTGTGTCCAGCGACCTCATGATGGTAGCTTGAAATCATCACGGTGGAAATATTTATACCAAGGGAATCAAGAGGCTCCACAAATCAGCACACCACTGTTGGGGCCTCCACTCTAGACCGCTTGCATCGAGGCTTACCTTTTGGTAGCATCCCTGGGTGATAACTTGGAGAAGCTCTGTCCTGCTGTGCAGAATTCCCATTTTCCATTCATCTATGGCCCTGTGTCCCAGAGTTTCTCAGTCCACCTGTTTCTTTTTTTAATTTTATTTTTATTTTTATTTTTTTTCATTTATTTATGATAGCTACAGAGAGAGAGAGAGGCAGAGACACAGGCAGAGGGAGAAGCAGGCTCCATGCACCCGGGAGCCCGACGTGGGATTCGATCCCGGGTCTCCAGGATCGCGCCCTGGGCCAAAGGCAGGCGCCAAACCGCTGCGCCACCCAGGGATCCCCTGTTTCTTTTTTTAAATGTTTTCTCAGTCACATTTTGATTTCAGGTCACTGTGGAAAACTCAGAAAACACAGACCCTTGCAAGATTAGCTCTTGGCTAAGAGAGGAGGCACAGCCCCCAGACCGAGGCGAATTGGTTCCCAGATTGCACCGCAAAGCTTGTGGTGGCAGCAGCCGTGGTGGCAGGAACCCAGTTAGGAGGTGCCTGTGGGGACCTGTCCAGGCTCCAGGGAGAAAAGGGCTGATTGCCCAGAGGCCTGCAGAGAGGCTGACCAGGCAGCAGAAGGTTAGATTGTAGGGCAATGACTGTTTTTATGGGATCAGCATTCCCCAGGCCACCCAACGAGAGCCTTGCCAGTAGTAGGCTTTTAGTATTTGTCTCTTGGGAACGAAAGGGATCTCTCGGAGGTGACCAGTGACTAACCACCCTCTGGTGAAATCTGTGGCATTACAGAAGTAGTTCTTTTG